CTATAAGCCGCATGGTTCAAAGTTCAGGAAAAAAGTTGCGGCTTATAGTCCGAAAAATATGGTAATATATATTTTAAAACAGTAAAATTTAAATTATGTGTTCAAATATATAGACTAATTTATTGGAATTAACCTGGAAATAATGAAAGTCAATTAAAATATAAAACAGGAGATGAAGTTCTCCTTTTTTAATGTAATTGGTGCATTTTAAGAGTATTTATTTAGTGGTTCATATAATTCTGCTTTTATTTCTAATTATGTCATCAATTCATTCATAAATGGTGTGTTGGAGCAGAGAAACAAGTAAAACATACAGGGCTGCGGTCCTCGAGGACCAGGATTGCCCATGCCTGTGCTAGACCGTTTGATGACTGAATGAATTCGATTTCAGTCTTTTGTCACCTGCAATGTTTCATAGCAAAGGCAACGTTGGCAACAGATGTAGACTTTTATTCCAGGAAAATAATAAAACAGAGATGAGATGAGAAATAACATCGTCTGAGAAAACAGGTCAGTTTAGGTCAGCAAGTTAATATAAATAAATATATGCACATCGTAAATCTATGTTTTATTAATACCAGAATTATATGATACAGATTAGAATATAATTTAGCACAACTAATACTTCCATACTTTTTTGAAGCAGGGACTAAGAGGTTGTTTGTCCTCTTCTCCACCCACAGCGTGGCTCCGACCAGCCCGAGACTTCAGAATCTAAACTCTTTTTACTATTCAAACATTGTGTCAAAGCGTTGTCGTTATCTTAGACTATGTGAAATCCTGGTTTTCAAAGGAGCAGCGCTGCCGTGGGAGCACACATTCTTATAATCAAACACATTAGAATATTATTAAAGAAGAGTTTTATATGTCTCAGATTATAACACAGTGTCTTTGTTTGACTTTAATTTTTCCCCCTAAAATATGCTTCAGGTGTTTTATCATAAATATCTGCTAAATTTAATTCTACCAGGTGTTTGTTCTGTTCTAAACTTATTTAGAACCACAACTAAATGTAATTTAGATATAATATATAATTAATAATAATACAATTAGATGTAATTTAAATATTAAATGACTATAGGAGCTAAAATCCTGTAAATATAATCCATTTGAATGAACAATCATTTTAGGGGAGAAAATTGTCAAACAAACAAAAAACATTCTGTGCAAAGAACTCCCATGCAATAATTTTTCAAAAAAAATATATCAGACAGGTCCTCGGCTGAAAACATTAAAATGAGATAAAAGTAAATTAGAGGAAAGCTGTTCAAATCATCCCTCTTCCTTCAAAATTTCATCAGTCTTAAAAATCTAAATATTTCAGGTTAAATTATTTTTCATTTTTTAAAAGGACAACCAAATATTTTGGTGGAAAACCAGATTTTGTCAACAAAAACAAATCCTCGTCTACCCCTGGCTACCCTCTGTATAGCAGTAACATGCTACAGAAGCTACTGTAGTTATGCAKGTATTTATGCTCTGAGTATATAATGCGACCCCCTTTAAGATTAAAAAGCATAAAAAAAATCTAATCCTCGTGTATAACGCTCCCCTTAATTTCATGGAGACTTCATGATGTTTCAGCCTTTGCAGTGTACCCTCTCTGGTGGGGAAACATCATTTGGGGACACACGCTTGAGGGCGTGTTTGTTGCTGCAGAGGAGGATCCGCGCGAGCTTCCAGCTCTGCATGCCACTGAAAACAATCCTCTCTCAGAGCAGAAGCCTGTTGTTAAATTAGCAAGATGGACCATCTGATTTTGGGATGAATATATTATTGTGATTCTTTAAGGAACATTTCAAAACTGAGATCTTTTGTGTCACAGAAGGAACTAGAGATGGTTGTTCACGCTTTTATTTCTTCACATTTAGATTACTGCTACAGCCTTTTTACATGTCTAAACAAATCCTCCTTGACTCGGCTTCAGTCTGTGCAGAACGCTGCAGCGAGGTTATTAACAAAGACCCACAGBAGAGMC